CAGTTTGCATTCTTCATTATATTTCATTGATCAAATGACATCATTTCTTTCAAATAATTGCTATTCAGTGAAAAATCAGCCTCTATTAATATTGATATTGTCACTCTCAGTGATACAAGATGTCTCTCAGGGCATGTCTGATTAAAGTATTCAGTTATTGAAATCAGCACCACTGCATCACCTAAAATTGATACTTAAAATGCTGTAAGCATGTAACATTTTTCTGGAGTCCCACATACAGAAACAAATGCCTAATGGGTCTGTCAATGAAAAAATTTTGATTACGGTGTTTAGAGAAGGAGCAGGATCGAACTGGCCATTCAAGTAACATTATATATTTTTTTCAGGACCATTTTGCTGTTAACATGGCTGACATGCCACCTAGCAACAGTGACTCTGTCTCTCATTCTCTATTTATAGAGCTGCATCTAGAAGTGCCACAGGACTGTGTTTCTGAACAAAATGACAGTCCCTGCTAAAGCACCTTCTGACCACCGAGCTTCACGCTAAATTGATGTACTGCAGAGTCTTCTTTTTAGAGTGACAAAAATTGGCCATGCCTTTTACAGTTCGTGTGGATGGCATGTGCACTTCCCCTGCAAGTATTGCATTTGAAGTCTTCCATAAAGTTGCATGTTTTTTTTGTTGAGAAGAACATTGTTTTGGCAGTTAGAAAATCTTTTTTTGATATATAGTTGAATCAAAAGTCACACTAGCTGAGGATAGCACAATTAAAAATATAGTCCATATTTACAATTTATACTGGTCCAAATGAGAGGCTGGCATAGGGAATGGAGATGGCCTGAACATGTGACAATTGAATTCATAACAGGTAAAAAAGTTATTTTCAAGAAAATGTGGCACTGTCCTCAATGCTAGACAAGATGCATGTTTAGACAGCCTCTGACCCATGAAGCTTATGATTAAAGAGATGAATAAAAGTAAAAAGATAAAGACTTTTGTGCTTAGGCTTTGCTTTATTTTCTGGGTAGTCTCTTTTCACTTCAGGCCTGGCATACTGACGGGTTATCCGAGGAGACAGCTCCTGTGAGCTCTGCCATAAAAGCGAACACCAGGAAGAGAACTGAACGCGAAGGGAGACTTGTCAGGTGGGGTTGCCCAATCCCAGAAGGGAGGACTGTCAATTTAGAGGGGCAGAAAAAGAGAAAAACAGAGACAGGAACAGAAAACCATTCCCAAACAGTCAGTAGACAGAGCCGGGTTCTTTCCTGAGCTGGAGCACAGGGTTTTGAATTTGACTAGCAAATCTCATTGCTCCAGAAGGACTGCTTTCACCTAGTCGTCCTCATTTATCTGTATGGTAGATGCTGCATAAACCACGTAGCTTGCTTTGAAATCCTAAGGTGTTTAAACCTGGGTATTAACTTCCACAGTCCAGAAAAGGCAAAAGATGCAGTATAGCAGTGTTTTCGTTTGGCTCAGGAACATGCTTTTAACGTGAATCTCCCCATCCTCCTCGCTTACTGTGCTTTGGTTCACACCGCGGAGCAATCTCAGAGCACTTGAACTGGATTGCTTTTAGGTGACGCTAAACCAGACAAGGCGCTCCAGGAGCTCTCGTACACCAGAGCTGAGTAAGCCTGAAGCAAAAACCCCAGAAGACCTATAGCATGGCCATCAGGTCTTCAGTGCCAGTTCTTTTGCTCCACAGTTCTGCTCCAATTGCACTGTGCTAGTTACCAACGTAAGCAAAGAGACCAGAGTCGTTCCAGAGGTGCGCTATTTACCAGAAAATGTTGATTTTCCCAATGATAAATAAAAACCATTCGGAGGAGAGCTCAGCTATTCTGAACAGTGCTTTTCTGTGAGCTTGTTCTCCATTTTCTTTTCCTATAAGGAATGTAGCTTATTTCTCCTCCTTCCTTTTTAAATAAGGAGATTCTTCATTCACTGCAGCATCATTCAGAAAAGCAGCATGGTACAGTGGTAGGCAGCCTAGCTTCATGAGGACTAAGGCAAGGAAGATGATAGCAAGCAGTCAATCGCTTGTTGTTAATGGTAGCGTTAATTTCTAAAGAGAACATTTCTAAGATAAAATGCAGACGAGGCACGTGCTCCAATGCAAGTTCTGACAATGAGGTTCTGAAGGACTCAGCTAAACAGCATGTGTCAGGTGATGAGGTTAATGGAAAAGACACTTAATGAAAATAACCTTGGGAGAGCTTTGCAGAGCCCTTGGGTAAAATAATTTATTTCTTCTGCTACTTCTATCGCAGTAATTTAACCCAAGACGTAGAAAAAGCTGATGTAAACATGAACTCAACCTGTCAGAGCAGCGCAGGAGGAACATCGGCAACAATGATGCAGCGTTGTAAATATCTGCAGCACCTCCGCTGACAACACGAAGACTACTGCCCGAGTGCAAAGGCTTTCTCTGGAGAGCCCCGTCTTTAAAACAAGAGGGCTTGTTGATTAAAGACACAGGTTATCAAAGCACCGTGCAAGACAACACTTAAAACAATCATCACAAGCTGCATAATTTTTAGCCAACATATTGTCTTTGGATCAGCTAGTCCTGGGAGAGAGAGAAGGGCCACAGCAGCCTTCGTTTGCACTGCTCCTGTTCTGTGCTTTCGCTGGTTTGTTTTGCAGTTCAGCTATAACCAGAAATAAGCTGCAGTTCCTGTGATTTAAGGCTTTGGACTGCTCTGCATCCAGACCTCAGCGAGCACTCCTATTTTTCTGTGCCATTTCCCTTCTTAGCCTGCAATTAGAAGTGCTGCAAGCTGCCCGAGAAAAACCTGTCTTCCACAGAGCTCGATTCCTAACAAAGCTGAGCTCCAGTTTCGGGGTGAGGGCTTGTGATGTGAGCCAGAATAAGGGATGGCAGATCACTTGGTGGATACTCCTGATTTGATCCCAAGCCTTGGGTCAAGCATTTTGAGCACTCTAGATCCAGATTTAGAAAGCCTCCGGAGTAGGAGGGTAGAGGCAGATAAGATTCACCCTGTCCCTGCCTGTAACATTACTACTTTTGTCTGCAAGTGCCTGTTCCGTATTCTGAGCGACATGAATACCTCACCTGCGTGAAGCTGAAAATCCTTTTTACAGCTCTGGGTACAATAACTTCTATATAGAAAAACAAGATTAAACCTGACACTAATAGGAGTGATGGAGGGGGAAGGTGTTCTTCCTTTGAGGCAGAGGCTCTGGATACAGCAGCCAGCAGCTGACTAAAAAAGGACAGAAAGAAAGATAAATGCAGTTATACAAGCATCAGAGCTTAAGAAAGAGCTTCCAGGAGACAGAGAAAAGAGGAACGTGCACCTTTCTCTTGACATTTAGCAAACTACCTGAACCAGCTAAGCAAAGAAAGAGAAAGAAGGTCAAAGACCTTACAAAGAGAGCTGCTTTCAGCTGTTTGCTACTTGAGATCTTAAAAAATATTTACCTTATCCAGCTAAGAGATGCTAAGCCCTTAACAGCAAAGCCTCACCACAGGAACCCCCCTCCTATTCTCTCTTCCCCTCCCCGTGAGCCATATTTATAGACTCCCTCCTAACTGCCTCTGCAGGGACCAGCTTTGTTAGCAAAGCCTCTCTACACCTGCGTGGCTGTGGGCTGCTAGAGATTTAACTCCTCGTCTACTGTATCCAGAGTAGCAGACTTGCAGTATTTCCAAAAATGCCTCCAGCCCCCAGTGAGCCCCCTGCTCCAGCAGATGACCCTGTGGCGTGGCGTGTGGCCCACCTCTGGGAGAGCGTTAGGCAGGGCGGCAGATGCCCCGTCCTGCTGTAGCAGCTGGATTATGTAGGGATTTATCACTCAGCTGTAGCCCAGGCACCTTCAGCACTGTAGTGCTGTAGTCACTTAATGCCCAGGGAAATCAGATTCAGTGGTTCGAGGTGCAGTATCTCACAAGCACTCTTAGCTATATCCTACAGAATGATTTCCAACGGGTTACTTCATGCTATTTTGCCATTGCTTTCTTTTGGGTTTTTTATGGACTGAGTAATGTTTCCTGTCGTTTGAACTCTTTGACAACAGCTTCTGTGCGATGTCTTTGACATTTGCAAGGGGGAGAGGGTCTGCTGTTCTCCAAAACCAGCAATCACCCCTTGAACAGCAGGCTGTCAGCTGCCAGGGCAAGAGCGGTGGGCACACGAAGTACAGTGTGCTTGAGTAGTGATTAACACACAACAAAGAGAGCTGCCTGTGCTGCAAATGGAAACACACTGTGTACTTGTGATGTAAGAGCATTTTGGTCTAATTTTGCACTCTGCATATAGTAATAAGACACAACAGGGTGTGCATTAAGCTCATCTTTTGAGAAGTGCAACAGTAGCTGAATAATGCACACCCTGTAGTGGCTTATTTGCAGTAGACTATGGCTCATTAATTTTACATTTAATTTTTTCCCAACCCTTTAAAATAAAAACAGATCTATTCCGAGGGCAGTTACGTAATGTATCTTTCCACTGAAAAGTAACTTCAAATACAAACAGTAGGGAAAAGGTGAGGAAGAGCTCTGCTCGACTACAGTGTTTGGTTTGGTTTGTGTAAGTCCTGCTTCAAGTAGGTCTTTGGGTCACTAATGCAAATAAATGCAAATAATGATAGTTATTGAAATCTATTCAGTGTTCACTTTTTTCTAGACTTTCCTCTCTTTTTATGTGCTTCCCTGGGCCTTTTGTCTCCCCTTTTTCTCACAGAAGTCCACTTTTCAGCATATGAACAAATAACCTTTTCAGAGCAACTTCACATATAAAGCACTCACATGGAGTTGTGACTGACTTTTATAGCAAACTGTGAACTGAAGGGCCACAAATTCCTGCTTTGGAGGTAGTCAGGCATGATTTGGGGGAAGATGGTTTTGCCAGACTAGAAGTGCATGTGTGCATGGCTTCAATAGAATTTAAGGAACATAGCGTATTATAAAAATTAATTTTGTTAGAACATCACTGTACATGTATGAAGGATGAACTTTTTTTCCTGCTCTCCCAAATGAGATATTACTCTGGTTTACTCCTTGTATATAGGTTCCAACCTTGATGATGGACACCCAGTTTTCCGAATTCACTCCAGATATCACCCCAATAATGCTGGCGGCTCACACCAACAACTATGAAATCATCAAACTGCTTGTCCAAAGACGGGTGACAATTCCACGCCCACACCAGATCAGATGCAACTGTGTGGAATGTGTCTCCAGTTCGGAGGTGGACAGCCTGAGGCATTCCAGGTCGAGGCTGAACATCTACAAAGCCTTAGCCAGCCCTTCATTGATTGCCTTATCAAGTGAGGACCCCATCTTGACAGCTTTCCGACTGGGCTGGGAGCTGAAGGAGCTCAGCAAGGTGGAAAATGAGTTCAAGGCTGAATATGAAGAACTTTCCCAGCAGTGCAAGCGTTTTGCTAAGGACCTTTTGGATCAAGCACGGAGTTCCCGAGAATTGGAGATCATTCTTAATCACAGAGATGATCAAAGCGAAGAGCTGGATCCCCAGAAATGTCATGATTTGGCAAAGCTAAAGGTAGCAATAAAGTATCACCAGAAAGAGGTAAGAGTCATCTGAACACGAAGGTTTGTGGAGGCTGCATGTGTTGGGTAAAATGATTCACTTCTCGAGTCTGCATGGGTTTCTTTAACAGAGGTAGAGTTGCTAGTTGAGAGCCAGCAGAGCTGACTTTGGACTGAGTGGAGAACTATGTGCAAACGGTTAATCACAAACCGAGAGGTTCAGTGCACCTCAGTGACAACTTGAGTTTGGTGACAGTTGAGGACAACTGGGATTTGCTGCAGTGGGTTATGGCTTGTATAGTACCAACACTTTCTATTTCAAAGATATTTGTATCCCATTTCGATGTAACCCATCCCCCTACAAAGAAAAGCCTTGAGAGATTTCCAGGTTTGTTAGCTCCAAAAGCTCTTCCCAGTAACTGCCGATATACAGGAACCAAAGCCTAGAAGGGATTGTCTGGCTCATGAAATTCTTGACTGCTGGAAACGATATAGTATATTCTTCACTTCCTCCAGCCACCCAACACCTCCTAGGACCTACTCAGCACCAGTGCACAAGGGCCACAGAAATTAGAGCAGCACAAGAAGAAAGCAGGGGAGCAAGGGCACTTTCAGTGTCCCAGGCCTCCGTGCTAACAGCAGTTTTGTTAGGTGAAATCGCCCATGTGATCCTAGGAAGTGGATCATGCCATGCAAATACTTCTTGACAGCTGAGACACCTCAGGTTGACTCGTGGTATTTCATTCAGCCAGGTTATAGGAACTCGGCAACAACTCCCAGAAATTCCAACCTCTGCCCGTAGTACCAGAAAGGAAAGAACTTCAGCTGAAGGACAGAGAGCCTTTCAAAAGCCTTGCAAATCCAGAGATTTGTTAGTTGATGCAATAGGTTTCATTAGTTAGCTCTGGATTTTCTTTCTCTTTCCAAATCTGGACAGAGTTTAGTAGATTATATATTACTTGTTGCTGGCCAGTGATGTTCTCGGGTAATCTGACAGAAGAGTTTAGCTTGCTTGGTTGAGGTACTGAGTTTCAATGTCTGTGACATATTTTTATGTCCAGAGGGTGACAGGAATGACAGAAAAGTCTACCGAATTATTCTCTTTTCACTGTCCTTGCGTTTGAGCCTTTGCTTTATGCGTTGATCCAGATGAGAAGAGCCTGATACGATAAATTCTGCCTCCCATACAGGCTGCTCATGTCACAGTCAAGAAGGGCAAGATGCAGATTTTCCTTTCTTCCCTTTGGTCTGTTATGCCTCCTGCACACCAGCCTCTGATGTAGCAAGCTGGAGCTGAAGCCGTAAGCTTTCTGGGATCTAGCACGTGCTCACTTACTGCTGTCTCATGGGGCTACTCCAGTAAAGTGTCAGCTTGCTGGCCGCCGTGTCAGTTTGTATTTTTCACTCTTGTTGACAGGGTTAGGTAATACCATAAGATCCCTAGGGACACACACAAGTAGGGAAGAATTAGTCCGGAGGAGTGTGATGTAGTGTATCAGTTCAAGCGCTCCTTGAATCCAAGAAGCTCCAGAAACCCTACGTCCCTTTTTTTACTGGCCTGATAAGGGCAGGCACTGCACCCACATACACCCTTTGGTGCTGGAGGACACTGCTAGCATTGCTGTGCGTGGATCGCTGCTGATTTCCACGTCTTGTCACAGTTTGGGTTCACTAGTGACAACCAGGCACAGATCTGTGACTGCCCCTTATCTTGTGTTCGTAGTAAGAGAGACTGTAGGTCGAAGGAGTTCACTGTATTTGAAATGTGGGGCTGAACAGAACTGAAGCTCTTGTAAAGTAACAAATTTTGACTCTTTCGGTTTGGTTGCTTGACAATTTCCATCTCCTTTTTTTAGTTATATTTGACTGAATTCCAAATACATGGACAAATTCCATTTTTTGTTAGGTGACACACACATGACAGTCCCAGTATATAAATCATAGCTGATGAGCACAAGCTCTGTGCTGCCGGATAAAGTCAATGCTGTTTCCAGGTGGGAAGCTGGTAGTAAGGGATGGGGTGAATGAGCTTGAGAAACCAGCAGTACTGAACTACCTTATCCTACCTGGTTATTCACAGGTACCTGATGAATATAGACAGCATGTTGTTCGTCTGCAACAAAGAGACTTGCAGTAGTTTTCGTATAATGATAACGAATCCAAACCAAAATACCAAGCAAGGTACAAACATCGTTGCCAGCTTCTGAAAACAATGAGTAAGAGCTTTTGGTGGGAGACACTGAGAAATGCTTTTTAATCAGGACTGAAAAACATGAGACTGGGAGAATTTTTGTGGGGGACAAGAAGGAAAATGAGAAAAAGTTTACTTTTATAAAAGACACTTCTGCAGAGCAAACCAGCAGGCATTGTAAAAGTAGATCATCTTGTTTCACTGACGCATTTTATATCTTAACATTGGGTGGAATGGGATTGGATGAGATGGCTTTTTATATCTTAACGTTGACAAACTCACAAGTCAAATCTCCAGTAGCCTGTGACTTAAATCTATAGCAGACCTTAGCTATTTTTTGGGGGCTATATACTGTTACTTTAATTGGCTGTTTCCATATTCAGCATAAAGAACACATAATCTCACATTGATTTTAGACAAATGGCTAGAGAAAATGTCCTGCAGCTTTTTCTTTTTGAGTGAAATAAGCCTCAAAAATATCCCCCCAAATGAATTGATTCCATTTCAGCTTCGTCAGGCAGATTTGTTCAACTTCAAGATTCTTTCTAAAGGAATTGTTAAGAGGGAATCGGTAACAAGATCGTTGCCTTTGGATGGACATGCTGTGCTGTCCGACTTGGGTAGGGAGCAGGTCTTTGAGTTACTCTTGATTTCTGCCAGTGTAACTGGGCTGGAAATAAGAATGCTCTTCACCAGACCCATTATTCAGTGTTTATTTCTCCAAGGCATTTCAGATAAACCCAATTTGCCTTTTTTTTTCCTTTTTCCATTGCAGTCCTGTACTGTAGAATAGGTGCCGTTTTTGCTCCAGCTGTAGGAAAGTAACAGCATTCAAATTCCTAGTGCAGGTTGATGGATGTCCAGCAGTGAACATACAGGACTGAACAAAAATCCTGATGGGAAAAGCTAGACACCCATGGACAGTTCCTGCTCCAAACTGAACCCCTGGAGGAAGGGTTTTCAAAGCTAGTTAGGCTGCTAATATGCAGGTAAGTAGGCGATAAGATTTTAAACGAAGTGTAATTAGATCAGGTGCCCAAATCATGTTGGAGATTAGACACTTCTCTTGCTGAGGCAATCTGAAATCCTGCTGCTGAATTAGCTGCATCTTTTGATGCCTAAGAACTGGAGAAAAATCTAGTCTTGTATGTTAAGTTTTAGCGAGCAATTAGCCATCTGCCCCACTGTGAACGCAGCTCCCTGTTCTCAGGACTGGATCCGTTAAACGCCCTAATAGTGTACGCAGATGTAGTCTGAGCCCCTCGCTCTTCACAGTGAGCAGCCTGGAAGAAGGCTGGGTTAGTGAGTGGTAGCACTTAGTTCAGCCATATATGGGAAATGCAGGAAATAACATACTTCTTGGCCTCAGCACAAAAGCTCCATCTCCACCTGTATCCCCAAGTACATGTAAGCACGTACATCCCACAGCCATGTAAGCACGACCCTGGGCAAGCTCCGAAGACCGGACTCACTCATCATCCAGGCTGTAAACCCTAGAGACGGTGTTAGAAAGTCACCAGAGCCTCAGGTGCAGAGGGCTCTGCAAGGTGGGGAGTCCCACGAAAGTCCTTTGCTCTGTTCCTGGCAGCCCGTGTTACCAGTTGGTGCGTTGTTTCCTAAGCAGAGTGCGGGGGCTTTGAGCTGCGCTTACTGCGGGGTTGCAGCTAGCAGTGTGGATGGAAAACGAACAAGTCGCGCCCCCAGTCTGTCTATGTCTCCTCATTGCCCACCCCGGCATGTGGACAGAGCCTGCCTTTAGCCCAGGCTGCAACCGTGGGCCTGACGTTTGCCTGAAACGCAAACTACTTAGGAGGAGCTTGTGCCCTCTGCCAGCAGGCTCATTTATTTAGAAGCTATGAAGGATTTAGTAGTTGTGATCTGTGTTTGCATGGTATTCATAAAATGTTAGAAAAAAGTGAAGGCAACTTTAGTACACCATGAAACATGAGTTAGATGCAGCAGAGGTGTGGCAGCCCTCTCCAGGTCCGCTTTCAAAAGAAATGATCTTAGGATCACTGGAATTCATGTCCTAAGAGGCTTTCCCGTAAAGGCTCCTTAGGATATGGCATTTGCCTTCATACTGCTTTCCTGATTCTTGTATTCATAGCTAATTTTGGAAGGAGAAAGGTGCTGAAGACTTAATACAAAAAGGCACAGCTCAGCTGCTGGGGCTCAGTCTTCACGATTTTGTGAAGAAGAATGTGCTAATCTGCACCAGATCAGCTCTGCATTTGTTAATTTGTTTAGATTTCTAAGAAAAGATGGGGAGAAGTCATCTCTCAGGATCTTCACAGTCACTTAAAGCACAGTTGTGTGTCCTGGGTACCATCACAGTATTAGGATATAAGCTGAATGCAAGTACAATTTGTGTCCCTAAAGGTTTTTTTTTCTTTTTTTTAACATTGCCAAAGTAATGTAAAGTAACCACAGTGTAGGCTGTGAATCAGGTCTAGAAGTGCAAATTTCACCTTACAGAGTAATTTAAAGTTAAGCAAATTGTATACAACATTCTACCAAAGCACGATAGTACCAACATATATTTGGCCTGTTCCTCCATTCCTGCTCTCCATCACAGGTTATTCACATCTTTAAAATGAGGTGAAACATCACAGGATTGGTTTTCTAGTGCCTTTCATTTTTCTGGTGCTGGCAGTTGCAGATGACTGTGCAGGTTCAGTCTATCTGTGTTTAAGCAACCCACACAATGCAAGGCACTCAGAAAAAAAGAGTATTTTATCTGTGACTGCATTACTAGCACTTTCACTGAATTAGATCAAAGGACTTCATGAAATTCCCTCTCAGAAACCTTAACCCTGGTCTCTCTTGCTCACTGTATGCTAAATCAGTGA